CACACATGAGTCAGGAATAGGACTGGACAAACAGACACTCCACAGGCTCCTGAAGAAGTGTATTTTTCTGGGAGCTAGAGGTTTTGTAATTCACAGTTCAGAATGAATTTTGTCAATAATTATCCAACTAGTTATCTCTCCAGATGTCATTAAAAAATGAATTTGTGTTTGTTATGTTTGTTATGGGTGAGAAAGTGTGCATGTCATGCAGGCAGTGGGCATGGGGGGAGCAGTCAAATAGGAAGTGCCCTGGCATTTATATCAAAGTGCACGCCGGTTTACGTTATCCACTAGGAAATACGTGCCTGTATGAGTATGATTAGTGCAGGATCATTCAGTGTGCATCCGGGCTTTTCCCCTCCTCCCTTCTTGGCTCTCCGTTCATATAATCCAGGCTGCCTCCAGCCTGCCTTTCCCCACTTGTCCTGAGCGCAGAAAGGTGCAGCAGAGCCTCTGAGAATGAGCCCTTTCTCCTCAGAGGCAGCTTGGCTCTGCCTGGCTGTCACGGCGGCCCTGGGAGGACTAGTCCTTTGCAAACTCAATAAGAGCCCAGGGCCGGTGGGGAAAAAAGTGGCCTGCCTGGGGGGCCTCTGGGGAGGGGCTTGCCTGCTCAGCCTGCCTCTCTTCTGGGCCTTAATACTCTTCTCTCTGTCCTGTGTCCTCTTGTATATTCACTTATCTGGCCAAGAGTTGCTACCTGTGGACCAAAAGGCTGTGCTAATCACAGGTAAGCGGACAACACTGCGATTCTCATCCAGGGCAGGATCTGGCACTTGCTTTGCCTTAGTGGGGCTTCTTCAGATTTGGTTTAAAACTAACACGCTTGGTGCGGAGTAAAGGAAAGCGTAGCCCCAAGTGGTTCTCGCTACATCGGTTTGGTCTGCTTTCCTCCGGAGGTGTACTCGGGAGGGGCCTGGAAGGTGAAGTGCATCTAAGCCATACTTTTGTTAATTTCCCAGGATAAATATTAATAGGCAAACCTGGGGTATTTCACGTGTTTCATTGTATCCAGGAAATCCCCTAGGTTTCTTTAGGCTTAAAGGGAATTTTGCTCTGAGATTAATGTTTGGCTGGGTTCTAGACTTTGGCTCTTGCTCCCTAGCTGTGCAAGAAAGCTCACGGAGTCAGGCTCTCTTTGTGCTTGGCTGTGCTTTTTAAATACAGGGGAGGGCAAAAGTAGGTTTACAGTAGCATCATGACATTCTTTTGTGTTCTAAAGTTACTGTCCTATTCAGAGCCTGCACGTCGTCTTCTATACAGACAACTGTAATCCCACTTTTGCCCACCCCGCTATTGAAGAGACTCACCAGGGCTGGAAACATTGCAGTTTGCCTGGCTGCTGTCAAGAACCTTGCCTCATCTGAACCTTGGTCTTCATATTTGTCATTAGACTGCTAATGCTTCTTAATTGGATGAAGCTGGCAGTGTGTCCAGAAGGCAGTTGCTTGTAGGCTGTGCTGCCAGCTTTTTTCCTCCTTTTGTCTTTCTCTTTCTCCTGCAAGCGTGAGGCCAAATTAAATTCCTATGGTTTGTAAAACTGGTTTGTTTGGTTGAGAAGATTGAGCTTGAATAGGGCTCTAAGTAGGATTGCCCAGCGTTATCCTAACCCAGAAAAGATCCTGCCAAGAAAGATCATTAACTACAGAATCATTTGCCGGGATGTCAACACCCCACACCCTGTGGCTACACCTGCTGGGGGTGAAGGCAAACAGTGTGGATGGAAGCAAATAGAGGTTTTCTTAATTCACAGGGAAATAGACTCTAAAGTGGTTTGTCTATTTTGCCTTTGACTTTACTCCAATGATGAAAGTCTCTCTTAAAATGAAATGCAAGTTGGTGCTTGTTGTAGTTTCGAAGTGCTGTGGAAAACAAGCTTCTTCAAAGACAAAAGAAAACAAACAACACAAAACATCCCAGACAATTCAAAGGTAGAAGACTCAGTCAATCCATGGGATGTTTATCTATACTCAGCTGGGGTGGGGAACGTTTTCTCTGCTAAGGGCCACGTTATTTATAACATCATTTGAGGGCCTACAAAATTATCAACTTAAAAATTAGCTATGAAAAAAAAGCTCCTAGATTTCTTGAATTTCTAGTCCTACCTGCGGTTGCCTTGGCAGGGCCAGACCAAATGATTTCATGGGCCGTATATGGCCCTCGGGCTGGATGTTCCCTATCCCGATACAGGGATGTCTGGTATCACCTGGAACCATGCATCTAGAAGACTGGCTAGGTTTTCTACTTTTTCACCAGAGCTCACTGGATAGGCTCCGGGCGGGAAGCTATAATAACAGTCAATCCTTCTGTTCTCTGTGTTGTAGCAAATGCCCAGGTCTTCAGAATAATTCCAGGTTGAATTTATTTTTTGTACTTTTCCACTTGTGTGAAAGAAGACAGCAATTAACCATGTTAAAAAAAAAAAAAAAATAGCAGTGCTGTGGTTGACACTAATGGGACATGATGTCCTGGAGGTCCAAACATTCCTGGGAAATCAGTTTCAGGGAGCAGCACTTCTGAAGCTAATAAATAAGAATACTAAACTTTAGGTATACTCAGGCAAACTTCTAGGTAACAGAGGAAACAAGAACTCTCTTTGCTCGATTATCTTGTCAACATACTTCATCCTCTGCTTTTGCAGACATAAGCAAACAGAAATGCCCACAAAACACACACTCAAGTCAGTTAACCTAGATCAGCCATTGAAACGTCCTGACTTGTGTTCAGTGGTATGCAAAATGACTGATTCAATTAGGTAACTCAAGCCCAGTGACTAATCCCTCAATGAAATGTTTAGTAATTAGAAAGCTGAGGATTAATAAAGGAAGCACATGTTTTAGGGTGACTGAAATGTCCCTTTCAGGTTCTTTGTCATGAGGAATGCCATAAGTTCAATATAATTCTAAAGAAGGTTTCAAGACTTCTGTACTAAATGGAGACATTTAAAATGAATTTATTTAGTTAGCCCAGAACTCATTAAAAAAAGAAGTCATAGTAATTTGGAATAACCTTTGTTTCAGGATGGCTTCTGTTATAAATTGGTAAACATTTTAGTAAGTGGGTGGACTGGGAGAAATGTGGCAGTGTACATAAATATTATTCCTTTATTTGATAAATATTATTCCTTTATTTGAAATGGAAATTTCTTTTAAAGAAATAACCTGAAATATGTAAAAAGGGTAGATGCCAAACAAAATGGCATATTCACAAAGTTGTTCAGTACGATCTTATTTGCAGTTGAGAAATATCAAAAGCAATCAAAATGGTGACAAATTATAATATATCTTCTGGGTAGAACAATGGCTAACCTTCAAAAATTACAGCCACAGCCCTGGACCATTTGGCTCAGTGGTTAGAGCGTTGGCCCACGGACTGAAGGGTCTTGGGTTCGATTCTGGCCAAGGGCATGTAGCTCGGTTGCAGGCTCAAGATCCCCAGGCGGGTCGGGGCACGTTTGGGAGGCATCCAATCAATGTGTCTCCCTCATGTCGATGTTTCTCTCTCTCCCTCTTCCTCTCTCTCTGAAAAACAATGGAAAAAAATATCCTCAGGTGAGGAGTTAAAAAAAAAGAAAACCACAGGAATGTGTTACACCATAGAAAACTGAACTGAAGGAAAACATACAGGAGATCCAGGTGTTCGAGCAAGCCTACAACCATGCCGCATGAATTTAAAAAACAACAAAAAAACACTGGAAGGAAAAAGTTTGTAAATGATTAGATCAGGGTATTTGGGTGTTTTTTCCCCTAGATGTTTTCCCTAAAATTTCTCTAATGTAGTGATATTGCGTATGCAATAATATGTCTGTGTGTGTATATACACACACACTTCTTTTTTAAAGAAGTTTTTATTGAATGTATTGGGGTGACATTGGTTAATAAAATTATATAGGTTTCACATGTACAATTCTATGATACATTATCTGTATACTGTATTGTGTGGTCACCATCCCAAGTCAAGTCTCCCTCCATCACCATTTATCCCCCCTTCACTCTCTTCTATGTCCCCCCACCCCTCTTTCCCTCTGGTAGTCACCATTCTGTTTTCTGCGACTATGAGGTTTTTTTTTTTGCTTAATCCCTTCACCTTTTTTCACCCAGCCCCCCAACTCCCCCAACACCCCTCCCCTCTGACAGCCGTCAGTCTGTTCTCTGTATCTATGAGTCTGTTCCTATTTTATTTGTTAGTTTATTTTGTTCATTAGATTCTACATATAAGTGAAATCTTATGGTCCTGTGTTTCTCTGACTGGCTTATTATTTTTAAAAGGGATCACATTAAAAGAATAAAGTCCATTTAATTATGGACCCAGGTGTAGGACAGTTACAAGGACAAGTTTGAAACACTAACTTTTTTTCTTTGAGTCGCTTATTTCATTTTGCTGAGGGAATCAAAGGTCTTTTGTCTCAGAAACATACAATCATAGCACAGAGAAGAAAAAAGCAAGCACAGAGCACTGGAACACGTGTTTGTCTTCAAGGTACCTGAAGCTCCAGGGGCCATTTAATTTTTAAAATGAGTGAGAAGCAGGCCCACATGATTACAATAGCATCTCAGGCACCATACCGTGGAAAAGACTTTGAAGTCTGACGGGCTTGCCTGAGGCTGGGCTCCTTAAGGGCAGCACTTGAGATGAGCATTTGCATTGTGCAGAAGGCAGAAACCCTCCTCTACCCTTCAATGTTCTTTTGGCTGGTCTAATAATCAAATCTACATGAGCCAGATTTACATGAGAAAATAACCGAATTTAGGTACATGTGTACATAGGGGAGCCCCACATACATAGGAGGTTCAGGGACAGAAAGTTAAAACAAAGAATATATAACATTTTGAGCTAGGGATAAGGTAGGATGCCTTGGAGGCTTCCAAGGGGAGGAAGGTCATTGCTGGAAGATAAGAATAGTAGCTGCTCGGTAATTAGTAGTTTTCCCTGTCCTGTAGATGGGTCATAAAAGGTTATTTTTGGTAACAACCCTTATTACGGGTAAGGCCCCTCATTTAAATTCTTTAAGGGAGAGGTAAATGTTTCTCATGAGCCTGCAGAATCTTGACTGCCTTCAGCTCAAAATAATCCACATTCCAAAGTGGGGAGGCATCTTGGGGGAAGCCTGTTCTGAACCCCTATAGCATGAAAGGGATTTGTTAGGAAGTTTTCCAAAGAATATTGGTCCTGGAGTGGGGAAGATGCACAGGAAAAGGAGGAGGCCCCACGGGGTGCAGCATCAAGGGAAGTCCATTGAGGGTCAGTTGGCTTAATCCCTGGGGCAGATCTGGAAACA